ATAATGGTGATTGGGTAATTTATGCTAATACTATCATCCTCCGTGGAAATATTTCTACTTTTCGTAAATCTCTTGCATAGGATGAATGGGGGAGACAAAACTTTTTATGGGAAAATTCATTTTCTAATAAAAATTATCAAAAAAATCAATTACTTCCCCATACATCTGTTCTCTCACCAAATACTCTAACAAGTGCTCATTTTAAAGGTGCAATACAAAATACACAAAATAATAATAACTCTAAACATAATCTTAAATCTATTCTTTTTAATAGTCGGTCCCTAATTAATAAAATTAATGAGTTTAAAAACTTTATTTTATTAAACTCTTTTGATATTATATTCGTAACTGAAACTTGGATTCGTGATAATCTCATAACTACAAATGAATTAACTTTTAATGGCATATTTTCGGTTTTCGCATGCAATCGTACCACAAAAACTAGGGGTGGTGGTGTCTTAATTTTACTTAGGAACCCTATTAAAGCTGTTGAGGTTTATAAAGAAGCTCAATCTGGTTATGAAATGATTATAATAGATATCATTAAAAAGGGGTTTACCAATGTTCGGCTTATTTGCATTTACTTCCCACCTAATCTTAAAAATACTTCTAATATTAAACTTATTAAAACACTCACTAAATATTACACTCACAATACTATAATCTGTGGGGACTTAAATAAACCAAAAATAATATGGAAAGATTATGTCTCTTCGATAGCAAATGACACATTATTTTTAGACTTTCTCATAAATTTTGGATATAAACAACTAATAACTGAACCTACTCACATATCAGGCTCTATATTAGATTTAATTATTACTAATAAAGACGATTTAATTAAGGAGATACATATAGATAAAGGCTTTTCCAATTCGGACCATTTTTCTATTCGCTTCAATATTAATATAAGTAAGGACCATAATACAATCCATCAATACAGGGAATTTAATATTGAAAACATTAACCGCATTAAACCTATTCTAGCTTACTATCTAGGATTCAATGAAATCTCACCCAATATAGAAAATACGATTAATGAAAAATTCAATAACTTTTATAATCTTGTCCAGTCTATTATAGAACAATATATTCCGTTCATTTCAGTCAAAGAAAAATCCGGTTTTAAATACCCAAGCTACATAAAAAAATCAATTAAGGATAAGCAGAACCTTTTTAACCTCCTCAAACAAAATCAATGTTCAAAGAATGAATATAATAAGGTCTGTAACAGAACAAAGTATCTTATTAAAAACTACTTAAATTCAAAAATTTCTTTAATCTCCAATAATAAGAAATTAATTAATAATTTTATTAAAAAATCGTTAAAACCTAAACAAAATATCCCTGTTTTGTTACATGATAATAAATATATCTTCGATGATGCCAAAAAAACCGAATTATTTGGAATTCATTTTTCTGAAATTTTTAATAATATATGTGGGTCCTGCTATGAAAAACCTCCCTTACTAATTAATACTCAGAATACACTAGACGATATTGATTTTGACATACTTTCCGTAGCAAATACACTAAAGGCTCTTCCAAATAAAAATTCTTCTACTCATGAGGATATATCCTATAAGATTCTAAGAAACTGTTATGATATTTTTGCACCTACCCTTTGTGAATTATTCCGGATTTCTCTTGATTCTGGAGATATTCCAGAAGAATGGAAACATTCGACAATAATTCCCATATTTAAGAATGGAAATAAGAGCAATATCCAAAACTATCGTCCTATATCACTCACCTCAACAACTTGTAGGGTTTTCGAAAAAATATTAAGTTCTGAAATATTAAAATTTTTCATGGAAAATAATCTGTTTTCGCAACACCAATTTGGTTTTATTCCCAAACGTTCCACAACAACCCAAATGATAATAATTCTTACCAAATGGTATGAAGGATTAATTAACAATCAGAATACTGACATAATTTATTTTGATTTTCAAAAAGCATTTGATAAAGTCCCTATAAACTATTTATTAGGTAAATTACATTTTTACGGTATAAGGGGTAAGATTCATAGATGGATCAAGAATTTCCTTTACAATAGAACATTCTCTGTTAGAATTAATGATACAACATCAAAAATCTTTTATACTCATTCTGGTGTACCGCAAGGTACTATCCTAGGTCCCCTTCTATTTACTATTTATATAAATGACCTTCCAGCCAAATTAGGAAATCAAATTACCCCCTCACTATATGCGGATGACCTAAAAATAACTTATTCGTACAAGGTAAATAGTACTCTACTACAGGATGAAATCAATCTTGTTAATGATTGGGCTCATAAATGGGGATTAGCTATTGCAAATAACAAATCTTATGTACTCTATGTTGGAAACAAAAATCCTAAAACCCCATACTTTATACAGGACCATAAAATAGAACAAGTAGAATTAGTAAAGGACCTCGGTATTTATGTAGATAATAAATTAACATTCAAAAAACACATTAATATAATCTGTAGAAATGCATTCCTCCGTGTTCATCAATTACTTAGAACTGTTCATACTTATAACCCTAAAATCTGGGGAAATATTTTTAAGACCTACGTATTACCAATCCTAGAGTACGCATCACCTATCTGGAACCCAAAACAAAAAGATCTAGTGAAAAAATTAGAAAGAGTACAAAAATACTATACAAGATCTGCTCTTAATAAATGTAGAAAAACAAAACTAAAATATCAAGATAGATTAATACTATTCCAATTAGAACCACTTCTTTTCAGAAGATATTATTTAGATTTAATCACTATGTATAAAATATACTTTAACTTCACAAGTTTAAATCCCGCTGAATTATTTATGCCAAACTCACGTCCCAGTAGAAAACATGATTACATAATCCAAGTTTCAAGGAAAAATGCTAAAACCGCCAACTCATTCCTTAACAGAACTATACAAATCTGGAATCTCCTCCCTAAAGAGATCTTTCTTAACCATACAATAAATACATTTAAAATCCATTTAAGATTATGTTTACCACACATATTAGAGAAATTACAAATATCAATTTAAATTCAAAAATATTTGTATTGCATCCCACAAATAAAAAAAGGACCATGGGCTTTTTCTCACTCTAATCCGTTCAAGTAAAAAAAATGTTTTTATTCACATTAATTTTCCTATATAAGACCTAAATTTCCTTTCGACTTATATTTTCCTTCCTCATTTTATATTTAGCGACGTTTTTATTTAACTCTACAATTTAAACAAATTATTTTTAAATTTTAAACACATTTTTGCTCTTTTTAAACACAAATTATTTTTGATTTTCTAAATTTAGCTAATTTAATTTAGGTTAATTTTAAAGTTTTCAAAACTTAAGCAAGTTTAACACAACCTTATTTTATTTTACTGTTTTATTTTATTCACACTATGGCACCCCAAAAACATACTCAAACAACCTTTTTTTACTCACATATTTTTTATTTATTTATTTTTTTGTCTCTCCATTTTAGCGGTATATTGTATATCCTTTGGAGATTTGAATAAATTTGAAAAATAATATTAATTTAAAAACACCTGCTTCTTTAACTTTTTCAGAAACTTTTCCTTTTAATTTTCTCGATTTTTGCTTTTTTAGATTTGCTTCTTTTTCTTTATTTATTTTTTCGAATAACTTTTCTGAATCATTTCTATTTAATTTACAATTACTGAATCTAAGAAACTGTTTCACAACCTTCACATCAATTTCGTAGACATTAGTTTCAAATATTGCTTCATCTTTACATTCAACTTCAGCTTTCTAAAAATATTTTTTATGTAAAATAAAAATTCTAAATTATAAGTAATTGCAAGAAAACACAACAAAAAAAATTTTTTAAATTTAAATAAAATTAATTTTCTAAATTTTTACATATTATAATTTTAATTTACCTTAATTAATTTTTTTACTCCAATTTTTTCATAATTAATTGTATATTTATTTTCTGGACAGACTATTTTATTTTCTCTAATTGCAACTATTTGTTTATTATTCTCTGGCCAAAAATGGCTTGTATGTTTAAGGTTATTTTCAGAATGATTTTTTGTGCATTCTATATCATGAATTGTAAATTTATCTTCGTCGGGAACATCAGTAATTACAAATTTAATATATTTTTGAGGTCTGTCAAAATTATTTTCAAATCCTTTTAGTATAATTTTTCCCTCTTTTAAATTAATTTCTATAATATCATTGTTATATTCCAAATCAAATTTTTGATTAAATAATAACTATAAAGTAAATAATTACAAAACAAAATAAGAAATAATTAAGCAAATTAAAAAAATATTAAAAAAGGGACTAAATTATTGTAGTCTAGTTCATGCTGTGGAAAAATTGTTTGGATGGGAGATGGATAGAACCATCATGGAAAGGCCCAAACCGAAGCACAACCGACTGTGCCATTATCCAACCCGATGCTGTGTTATTTTTATTCATATATATTTTTTCTGAAAGTACGGACACAACATAAATGGAAGAAAATAAATTTTTGTTCAGCTATGGCAATGACTGAAATAAAATTAAAAACCTTTGTTGATTTGTCCTTATTTAATTTAAAAACTTCAATTTTGAAATAATTATTTTTTGTAAATTTTAAATTATCTTTCTCCTCCTCTTTAATTTCTATCATTTCTTCAAAATCTTCAAAATAATTAAAACGAGCAATATCATAATCTTCTGTTTTTACTATTCCAATTTCTTTAATATTTTCTCCTGTTTCTTTTTTAATTTTACAAAGTTTTACTTCAAAACGAGGAGAATTTTCTTTTAAAAAATCACTCATTTCTTCTAATTCTTTCCAATTTTTAATTTTTACATTTATTTTTACATTAATCTCATCTATCGCCTCAACAAAAAATAATAAAAGAAAATAAATATCTAAATAAATAATCATTAAAAAATCTAAAATTAATTTTTAAATACATAAAATATTAAAATTTTAAATTAATTTAAAAAATTTTATTTATTTATATTTTTTATTAAATTATTTAAGTGGGGAAATAAATTAATGGATGTAAATAAATAAGAAATCAATTTTAGCGATAATTTAAAGGAAGACGTGGATACATAAATCAATTTAAAAAATCTTTTCTCAATCAAGCAATCAAGTGACAAGGGGGGATAAACATGAGGAGAGGAGGAGGAGGAGAGGAGGATAAACATGAGGAGAGAGGGTAAAGTCTGAGTATTGTTTGTCAAAACATTTAAAAATTTAATAACTAACTAATTAAATTATAATTATCCAAGGTTGAGAAAGACGGTAAGAAAAACTGGTGAAAAATATGCATAATAAAGTTTTTTATTTGAAATTCTAATTGTTTATAAAAGGTTAGAATATTGCACAATTTTTGCCAGTTTTGAGTGGTTGCATCCTATATTTTAGTGTTTTTAAAAAATCAGCCTGGCAACAATTAACATATTTCTTAGATTTTATTTCAAAATTTATGTTCGAATGGTCGAGAATTAAAAAATTTTGTTTAAATTAAAATCTTGTTAATAATTTAAAATAAAAAAATAAATAAAATTAATTAAATAATAATCTATTCAAGTTCTGTTTGCCATTCAATTGTAAAATTTTTAAATTTCCAAATAATTGGTTGGCCATAATGTAAAGCATCAATTGTTGTATTTTTCCAACTAAATAAATTTTAATTTAAAAAATAATTTTTTGTTAAAAAAGCAACAAACTTAAAAGGAGGTAAATTACTTGGACCTCCATGAATTGGACCTCCAATTACCTTTCAAAATAAAAATTAAATTTAAATTCAAAAAAATTTACAAACTTCAAATTGAAATTTATTAAAAAGTTTATAATTAGTTCCTTTATAGTCGATAGTTCCTTCATTTTTAAACCCCATATCTGGTAATTCCCAAGTTCCATTCAAAGGATTTAGATCACTTCTTGTAGATATACCTCCCTTAAATTATAAATAAAAACCTCTTTTTAAATATCCACAAAATTAGGTAAATACCCCCCAATTTAAGATAAGGTTTTCTTTAATTTGATTGACACAGAAAATTACTGGCCACAGAAATTATTTTCTGATTAATTCCCCATGCGAATTAATATTTCGATCTGTCCGCGAATGGGGAAGTATTCGAGAGAGAGGAAATATTCAAGTTTTGAAATTTGGGGGCGTGAATTAAAAATTTAAATTTAATTTTTGAATTCAACCCATTATTGGAATGAGGAATTAATCGAGAGTATTATTACTCACAAAAGCCCCAACTAAACGATAAAATTTTTTAATCCCGAGTGGGTATCTTGAAATGAGGTTGAATATATTATTTTGAATAAAAACAAACATCTGCTGTGTATGGTGGGTCACATTTACATTTTGAATATTCATCGTGTTTGTAATCATTATATCTTAAATATTTATTTTATAGATTATTTCGCTACTCGTTGGAGAGGGGAATTAATGCTAGAGGTGGTAGGTAATTGAGTGAGGACAGATATTCTTCGATCATTCCACTATTTATTAATAGATTTATCATTGATAATAGAGTTCGGACCGAGACGGGACCTCGAATAGAAATCTCAATTAAATTTTTAATTCCAAAAAATACAAAAATAACCACCTCATTAATTCCCTTAATGTTTCCATATCTTTAACTTTATTATGATCTCTTTGAAATATTTTAGCTCTAGGTGAATAACCCCAACGCCACCAATTATTAATATTTGCTTTTTCAGTAAATCCACCCAAATCAGAAATTTTCTTTAAAAATGGAATATTATATGATGGCCAATAATTATATTTCCTTAAGAACCAAGTCATATCTCTGCTTACTGTTGTACCACTTTAAAAAAAGACAAAAAATATATTAATTTTTATAAAAATAATTTTTAACGGTATTTGTTCAAGAATCCAAAACAAATCATTTTTAGGTAATTCTTCTCCAGGTTTAAATAATTTATAGTCCAGGACCTGAAATTTTGATTTTATAATAATTATAAATTTAATTATTCTACAACAAAAAATACTTGCCATCCATTGATTATTTAATGTTCCAGAATTAAAACTAAAAATTTATTTAATTAAAATATTTTTATTTAAATAATTATTAAATTTTAGTCAAAATAATCGAAAAAAAAATTACCGTCCAAAAATTAGAACCCATTCATGTGAAGTTTTTGCCAATTGATTAGCAATAAAAGAACGAAGCCAACAACTAAGTTGGCCAATTGGGTTTATATTCGAATAAATAGATTCGTCTGAAAGGGTAATTGTTGTCTCTAAAATTCCCTTAAATTAATTAATTATATCGTTAAATTATTGAAAACCTCATACCCCGAATGCCCACAAGCCTTCGGGGTACGACTCTAATATAAACTCACCAATCCACCACTTGTCAATGAAAAATCGTCTTGAGAAGTTACTGAACCTGGATAGCTAGAAATTGAAATTGTATGTCCCGGTACTTCTTTTGGATCTTTAATTTAATATTTAAAAATATTCAACTGATATATCTACCATAAGCCAATTTATATAATTTTAACATTCTATTCATAGATTTATATCCAAGCATGGTTACATGAGATATTAATCTTAAAATTATTTTAATTGAAGAAAAAAATAAAGATTGGGTTAATTTCAACTGAATTATCTTTTGATAATCCCAGTTATTCTTAGAATTATTAAAGAATAATTTCAGTTAGATAATTAATTCATAAAATTCACTGACATGTCTTTATTTCCTTCAAGTACTTTAACAAATCCAGAGCAATGATTATTTGAAGAATAATTAGTTTTAGGTTTTTTAAAAACTCTATCCAAATCAAAAAAATCTCCAGCCATTTGTATTTTTAAAATTGGAGTAATTGCAAATCTAACTCTTGAAAAATAAAATGGTTTTTCTGGGCCATAACCTTTAAAATAATTTTTAAATAAGAAATAATTTTTATAAAAACACCCAACCATCTTGAATTCCAGTAAGTTGGGTATATGTCTAAAAATTCCAAAAAAATGAAAATTAAAATTTAATAATTACTAAATTAACATGGCGCCAATATAAATCTGTTGGAGGGTTTGAAATGACCTTAAAAAATATTTTTTTAAATTAAATTCTTTAAAATTTACCTGTGATTCAATCCATTCTAAATTCAACTTAAGATAGTTAAATAATTTTAAACAATATTCTTTAGCATCTTTACATAATTGGCTAACAGTATTTAAATAATGATAGTAAATCTGTACTTTTGTTAATAAACCTTTAAATTGTTATAGGTAAATATTTAAATATTCAAAACCTTCAACAAGTCCAGCAGCATATGCCTGCATTTCTACTGGAAAATTTGGAAAGGTTTCAACTTCAAGAATACCCCATCTAAATAAATATGTAATTAAAAAATGTTAATGTTAATTTGAAATGTTAATTTTCAATTATAAAATATTTTTAATAGCTAACGTAATCTAAATTCAATAATTGAAATGCCCTACAACTTTCTCTGTTAAAGCGCACTCAGAGAGGGTACAGTTTATTCATTTAAGGTATTTACATTAAAGACCGGATCGAGATGAGATGTCAGACGAAAATTTTGGTTCTCGTTATCGATATCTGTTCAAATACCGATCACAATGCTCGATTGACACTCCCGTTTCGGACACTAATTTTTATAATCCTTGTTTAATTTAAATTTAAATAACCCAGTCTCATTTTGAGCATTTCTATATTTTCCTACGGCAACAGTATAATTATCAGGACATTTTTGAACACCTCCTTCTAATTTATACAAAATAGGTAATGACTCATTACTACAAATATACATAATTCTATATCCAAATAATTTATTTAATTTTGATTTATTTGATAAATATTTTGTTGAAAAATATTTTTGTTGTGAACTAAAAATAATTATTTTAAATTAATTAAATAATTAATTAATACTTTTCCAATTTTTTAAAATTTAAAGATTCAATTAAATTATTTTCATCCCAAATATCATTATTTGAATCTCTTAATGATAACACAAAAGTAGCCAATAAAATAATTAAAATAAATATTAAAATATATTTTAATTTCATCTAAAATTAAATATTGAACGGACAAATTAAATTAAAGTTTATTAAAAGAAATAAGTTATGTAACGAATATCCTTCAATAACTACCGTGGGTAATTATTGTTTCGACCTTCCGTTGGAGGGAGTAATTAATCGAATGTTGGTAATTAGGTTTGAAATCCGAACATGTTTTAGGACATTTGTTTGGGCGTAATTATTGTTTTAATCCATCGCTGGATGGGGTAATTAATGTAAGTGAGATAATCATTAGAGGGGGAGGGTATTAATACAGGTTATACTGTAGTTAAAATATATTAATTCATTTATTTGAGTAAACAACTTTTCGCGTTATAGGGATGAAAAATACAAATATATGATATATTTTTGAAAAATTAAGGATGTAAAAATTAATTTTAGGTAGACAAAAACTTTAATTTTGTAAAGTCTAAACAATTATTTTTACAAAATTAAATACCTATCTATTATTTAAGAAAATAATTGATTAAAAAATAATATATTTATTTACTGCAAATCATTTTAGACTATTTTTTGTATTATTTGTGCAGAATTTATAATTGTTTATTTAGCTTTTACTGATAAAATCATTTTTATCTTTTTTTATTAATTTTATTTGTATTACACAATTTACTGATTAAATTAAATATTTATTGCTTTTTATTATTTAGATTTTATCTAATTTTATTTTTATCTATTTTGATTTTTAAAAATTTGAAAAATACTGCTTATTTTAATTGCACATACACAATATGTAATTCGAAATAAATTTTTTAATTTCAATTTAAATTCACATTAAATTTATGTACTTTCTAATGATCTTAATCTTAGACTGTGCCACATCTCCTTTTTTAATACGAGAGGGATTTTTGTACATATGTAATTGAGAGGCACTGTAGGGATCAGACTTGACAAAGTCAAAATTAAAGTCAAAAAAATTTCAATTTGACCGACTTTTGTAAAATATCGAAAAATAATTTTGATCAAAATTTAGCAAAATCTTCGATCTAATTTTGCTTTTAACCAACCCCCTACATAATAATCAGTAAATATTTATATTTATAAAATTAAAATTAGCATTGTTTTTCACTTGTTAATAAATTATTTTCAATATTTTTCAATCCAATTCGACAACTTTTCATTATTTTTTTCATTAATTTCTTCCCTCTTCTCCTTCTTCATCATTGTTTAATTGTTTAATAGCTTTATTTATATTTTCATTAATTTTTAATTCATTAATTTCTTTAATTGATTCATTAGATATTTTAGCAGCAATATAACATTGCTGAATAGATATTAAAGCTATTTCTTTCTTTTTTTCTTTTAAACTTTCAGCAGAATTTAAATTAAATATTTCAATGTCTCTAAAAACAATTTCCCCATATTTTTTTACTTTTTCAAAAAAATATTCTTTACAATCCTCCCCCTCTTGTAAAGTTTTTCCTCTTCCCAAATTACACAAATAACTAGCCAAACAATTTAGAGTTATTGTTCCATAATATTTAATTTTAATATAATCCCAAAAAGTGCTGTGAATATATGAAATTAATTTTTCTAAAATTTTTTGTATTAATTCATCAAAATCTCCAATTGAAGGTTTTGCTTTGCCTTTTATTATTCTTATAATTTTTTTCCATAATTTATCCCTTTTATTTTTTTCAAATCTTTTTTTGCGAGTAATTAATGACCAGAGATCAATTATTCTTTCATAAAAAAGTAATTTATTTATTCCAAGTAATTCATCTGTTTCTATTTGGAATGGACCTGGAAAAATAATTTTAAATTATAAAACAGAAGAATTAGGAGTGTAAAAATGAAAGGGTTATATGTATTCTGTTTACACTAAATATACTCCCGGCACCCATTTGCCAACTCTATTAAAGAATGTGGCGAAAATTATGGTATATATCTGTTACTATTTAATTGAGGTCTCTAACTGTATTGAAACGACAATTTTCATAATTTTTAAAATCAAACCAATATATCTTTTTTGTGAAAAATCCTCAGGTTCATAATTCAATTCCCATGGAGATTCTCTCAAATTCTGCCAATCACTTTCTTCATTAAAACCTAATTTTCTTTTCATATTTTGTACAAAATTAAATAAAATATTAATTCTATCATCTTCAAATTTAATTATAAGTCCTTTATTCTCAACAATTTCCTTTACTTCTTCAATTTCATCTTTTTCAATTTCATTTGGTATCTCTTCATTATTATATTTAAATTCATTCAATTCTTCTTCTTCATTTTTAATAATTTCTTTACCTTTTCCTTTTTGGTTATAAACTTGACTTGTACTTCCAACATCATTTGAAGATCCTTTTAATCGGAAAAAGTAATCAAGCTGTGGAATATTCAAAAAAGGGCCTTCGAAGAATTGAATTAATACAGCAAATAAACAAATATCTGCCTGAAAAAAAGTATTTTTTTTTGTTTTAAATTTTTTGTAAATACAAAATAGGTTTAAACGGTAACAGGCTGTATTATACTATCAGTTTTTAAATCCTATACCGGTTTTTAATTATACCGAGATAGTATTGGTATTAGGATCGGTATAATTATTTCAAAACCGTTTAACTCTAATACAAACAAACATTTGTAGGTTCCTCTCCAAAAATAAAATAATTTCCAACAATCATTTCTCCAATTAAAGATAAATTTTTATCAAAATTTTTGATAACTTTATTAATTGTTTTAATTTTGTTATTGGAAGAAATTTGTTGAATTAACTAAAAAAATAAAAATTTTAAAGTAAAAATAATTAAATTCCAACATATTTTCAAAATTATTTTCTCCTTCAATAAAATATTTTTTAACAATATTTTCAATCCATTCATTCTTTGTATCAATAAAAACATTCCAATACTTCAAATCAAATATTTGTTTATTTCCCCCTTTTACTAATTTATCAATATATTTATCAAAAAATAATTTAATATCCATATCATCCTTTTCGTGTTTTTCAACTCCTTTTTCCAAACAAAAAAGTTCATTCCAAAATTGTTCATCTATTTTAACCAGAAAAGCTTCATTTTGATTAATTTCAATTATTTGGGGTTTTTTATAAAGTTCTTCCAATTTAGGCAACAATTGTTGATGTATAGCTTTATCTTTTGCTAAAAAATCAAATCCTCCATTTCCTTTTAAATCTCTAGTTGTTCTGTCTTTTATTAAAATTCTAGAAAAAATTTATTTAATTTAAAGGGAAAAAACATACGGAAATAATATATTATCAACAATTTCTTCAACCTTTTTTTCATTTTTATTTTCGGCTAAAGGTTTTCCTAAATGTTTTAATTTATTTATAATATTTTCCATTCCTTCAATAAAATCTCCATTAAATTGAATAAATGGAACTTGGCCATTTTGAGGAGAACCAAGTTTAAATTGGTTATTAATTCTCTTTAAAAATAAATATTATTTCTGAAATTAAAGATATTTTCTTTTTATTAATAAAATCTCGGTAATTTTTATATTTAATTTAATTGAAAAATAAGACTAACACCCTTTGATTTGACACACTTTGACTGATAACCCCCCCCCCCTTTTTTTTCTTTCTATTTTTTATGATAATTATCATTCGACTCAGCTCTTCGAGATGAATCGAATGACACTAAATTAATTAAACAAAACAAAATCTCCATTTATGTTTATTTTAAAAATAAAACAAACATAAAATTGAATTCCTTTTAATTTTAACCAAATTTCCAATTTAAAACAATTAACATCCAAATCAGGCAAAGAAGAAATTCTTGGATATCTAATTAAATAAACAACATTTTCTTTCCAATTTTCAACCAAAAGTTTTGGATTTTCTGTTCCATTTTCTATTGGATATTTTAATAATAAACCTTTTTTTAAATTTAATTAAATTAATTTAAACAAAAAAAGCTTACAAAAAATATTTGAATTATTTACAATTATTATTAAAAATAATAAAAATAACATTTTAATTTAATAATTAATTAATTATTTTCTTTATTTTTTTTAATTATTTAAATTTACGAATGTTAATTTAAATATAAGGCTATAATTAAAATTACCTTTATTTTATATTTTGCCCTTTGTTAAAATTTACATAAATTAAAATTCTCACAATTAAAAAAATTAAATGTCTAATCAATCATGAGAAGCATTATTTAAATATTTTTCTTTAATTTTCAAAATATTTTTTTTTAATTTTTAAATTTGTTGTGGGAAATTTAAGGAATTTAATTTATTAAATTTAAAAAAATATTGCATAAAGAAACTTTTAAATTCTCTTATTTTTAATTTTTTTAAAATGAGTTATTTACTGTTGGGTTGTCCAATTGTTTAATAACATATGAGAAAATATTTTTTAATTATTTTTATAGGCATTAGATTTTTTCTTGCTTTAACTTCCTTAAAAGTGCATAATGAGGTTATTTAGAATCAACGAAAGGCAAAAATAAAATTCTCAATAATATTTTAAAAAGTACAATTACTGAGAAAATTTGTTTTTAGAATCTTATTTTCATAAGTTTGTGTATTATGACACCGCTTATGTAGATGAAGACAATCAGATATTTTATCACACGTAGAAAATAGTTATGTAGAAACTAAGAGAAGAAGAACAAAGAACTATTGTTTGTCTTTTTTACTAAACTGTTTAAGGGCTCTCGTCTAGATGCAACATAATTATATAAATAAAATTTTTATAATAAAATTTTATTATATAAAAATATAATATAATTATATAGATATTAGTAATCAAAAAATTATCACAATTGTGATAAATAAATAATATTAAGGACAAGAAATTATATCAATTTCCAAGATAAAACATTCTTTAATTCTCTTAGATAACTTTCGATTTTTCTTTATTTAACAAAAATATTTTCTGAAATAAATAATTAATTTTAGATGAAATTAAAATATATTTCAATATTTATTTTAATTATTTTATTGGCTACTTTTGTATTATCATTAAGAGATTTAAATAATGATATTTGGGATGAAAATAATTTAATTGAATCTTTAAATTTAAAAAAATTGGAAAAGTATTAATTATTTAAGTAATTTAAAATAATTATTTTTATTTAGTTCACAACAAAAATATTTTTCAACAAAATATTTATCAAATAAATCAAAATTAAATAAATTATTTGGATATAGAATTATGTATATTTGTAGTAATGAGTCATTACCTATTTTATATAAATTAGAAGGAAGTGTTCAAAAATGTCCCGATAATTATACTGTTGCCGTTGGAAAATATAGAAATGCTCAAAATGAGACTGGGTTATTTAAATTAAACAAGATTATAAAAATTAGGGTCCGAATTGGGAGTGTCAATCGAGAATCGTGATCGGTATTTCGAACAGATTTCGATCTCGTTAACCGAGATTTCGTTCGAAATCTGTCTCGGTCTGTGTAAATACTTTAAATGGATAAAATATTTTTTGATACCATCTCTGAGTACCGCTTTAACACTGCTGTACGGCATTTCAATTAGTGAATTTAGATTACGTTATATTCTTCGGTTTTCTGATATACCTATATGTAATTGATAGAGTTTTTTAAAAAATAATTGATAGAGTTTTTAAAAAACCTAGAACTAATAATTATTACTCAAATAATCATTGCTCAGGATTTGTTAAAGTTAGAAAAATAACAATATTTTATTATTGAAAATTAATATTTAAAATTAACATTAAAATTTTTTAAAATTACATATATTTATTTAGATGGGGTATTCTTGAAGTTGAAACCTTTCCAAATTTTCCAGTAGAAATGCAGGCATATGCAGCTGGACTTGTTGAAGGTATTTATTTGAATATTTAAATATTTACCTATAACAATTTAAAGGTTTATTAACAAAAGTACAAATTCACTATCATTATTTAAATACTGTTAGCCAATTATGTAAAAATGCTAAAGAATATTGTTTAAAATTATTTAACTATCTTAAGTTGAATTTAGAATGGATTGAATCACAGGTAAATTTTAAAGAATTTAATTTAAAAAAATATTTTTTAAGGTTATGTCAAACCCTCCAACAGATTTATATTGGCGCCATGTTAATTTAGTAATTATTAAATTTAATTTTTATTTATTTTTTCCTGGAATTTTTAGACATATACCCAACTTACTGGAATTCAAGATGGTTGGGTATTTTTATAAAAAATTTTTAATTTAGAAATTATTTTTTAGGTTATGGCCCAGAAAAACAATTTTATTTTTCAAGAGTTAGATTTGCAATTACTCCAATTTTAAAAATACAAATGGCCGGAGAATTTTATGATTTGGATAGAGTTTTTAAAAAACCTAAAACTAATTATTCTTCAAATAGTCATTGCTCTGGATTTATTAAAGTACTTGAAGGAAATAAAGACATGTCTGTGAATTTTATGAATTAATTATCTAACTAAAACTAATTTAAATTATTCTTTAATAATTCTAAGAGTTTAATTGGATTATTAATAAATAATAAGTTGTAATTAACCTAATCCTTATTTAAAAACATAATTCTTTGATTGTCATTTTGATGATATCCGGCTTTCTACAACAACTGGAAACTAATCTTATGTGTATTTTTTCTTTCCTTTCGGGCCATTCACGAAGATTCTGAAATACCTATGTATAATATGATCTAAGTTGTACTCGATTTAAGTTCTCAATTATTTAACTTTACTTCTTTTTCTACTCAATCTAAACACTATTAAAATATATTTGAAGTCTAATGGCCCATGTAACAATGGCTGGCCTAAATACAATGAACAGAATATTAAAACTTTACAAATTTGCTTATGGTTTAACTAATTTTATTTTTTCTAACTAAAATTTTTATTTAATATTCTAATAATGTTCCCGGACATACTGTTGCTTTTTCTGGTTATCCAGCTTCTCTTGCATCACAGGATGATTTTACAATAACTAGTGCTGGATTGGTTTGTTTATATTAAATTATTTGATATCAAATAATATTTAATTAGCTTTCAATGGAGACAACAATAATTCTCGGAAATGAATCTATTTATTCTAATGTAAAACCAGAAGGTCAACTTCATTGTTGGGTTAGGTCATTTATTGCTAATTTATTGGCAAATACATCAAAGGATTGGATGACTATTTTTGGATTGTAATTTTTTTATTTAAATTTTTGCTTTTTGATATAAAAAATAAATTTTGTAAGACTAATTTAATTATTTTAGTCACAATTCTGGAACATACAACAATCAATGGATGGCAAGTTTATTTTTGTAAAATTGGTCTTAACTTTAAGTTAAACAAATTCACCTAAGCATTACCTAGAGGGTTATCCACCTAGAGCTAAAATATTCACTTTAATATATCTCTCACTTTAATATACAAATTTTTCTCTAATTTGTTTCAGTTTCCATTATCTAAAATTCAATTAGATAAACTCGTTTGATGATAATTTTTTCTTCCTAAGGATGATAAAAATAAAAATTCTAAATATATTTGATAATTTCAGGTCCTTGACTATAAATTATTTAAACCTGGAGAAGAATTGCCTAAAAATGATTTGTTTTGGATTCTTGAACAAATACCGTTAACAATTATTTTTATAAAAATTAATTTTCCTTTTGTTTTTTAAAGTGGTACAACAGTAAGCAGAGATATGACTTGGTTTTTAAGGAAATATAATTATTGGCCATCATATAATATTCCATTTTTAAAGAAAATTTCTGATTTGGGTGGATTTACTGAAAAAGCAAATATTAATAATTGGTGGCGTTGGGGTTATTCCCCTAGAGCTAAAATATTTCAAAGAGATCATAATAAAGTTAAAGATATGGAAACATTAAGGGAATTAATGAGGTGGTTATTTTTATATTATTTAAAATTAAATATTTGATGGAAATATTAATTCACTCAAGATTTTCATTGAGATCCCGTCTCGGTCCGATCTCTAGTATCAATAAAAAATCTTTTAATAAATACTGGAATGATCCTAGAATAACTGTTCTCTCTCAATTATTTACCACCTCTAGCCTTAATTAACCTCTCCAACGAGTAGCGAAATAAAATAATTTATAAAATAAATATTTAAGATATAATGATTACAAACACGATGAATATTCAAAATGTAAATGTGACCCACCATACACAGCAGATGTTTATTTTTGAAATAAATAAAAATATATTCGAACCTTATTTCTAGATGCCCACTCGGGGTTAAAAAAAGCTTTCTTGGTTAATAAACTCTCGATTATTTCCTTATGCCAGTGATAGATTGAAAGGACAATTCTCCAGTCCCAAATTCTAAAACTCGAATATTTCCTCTCCCTCGAATACATTCGACGGATGGATCGAAATATTAATTCCCCGGTGCAATTTTCTATGGCCAGTCAAATTATAGAGCGGCTTCAACCTCAGCCGTGAATGTTGCGAGTTGATCATATGGGAGTACTTGTCTTCCCATCGTCCTTTTAAAACAAGTTTTTGCCATGCCTATGAGCCTCTCATAAATTCCGCCTGCCCAAGGAGAGAGAGCTGGAATAAATTTCCACTCGATTTTGTTCTCTGCTAGGTGGGAGACGAGAGCAGCGCTCAAGGCTTTTTCTGCTAAAACAAAATTACGTCCATTGTCACTAAGTACGCGATCTGGACGTCCACGCCGGCTGATGAAACGGCGAAAAACATTGAGAAACGAGGCGGCTGTTAAATCCAATGTAGGCTCAATATAAACTGCTCCTGTCGTGAGGCAAGTAATTAAGACTAGCCAACACTTTACGAGGGAGCCTTGGACTTTAGTGAGTGTCGGACCAGCATAATCCACTCCAATTGACTGGAATGGCAATCTTTGCTGGACTCGGTCTGCTGGAAGTGGTGGCATTGTTGGTAAAGCATATTTGTAGGAATTCATCCTCCTACAAGCCATACATTCTGATATAACTTTGCGGATAGCTTGGCGAGCTCTTGGCTGCCAATAGTTGTTCAAGAACTCTGTAAGAGTCCAATCTACACCTCCGTGACATAACCGTGTGTGGATGTCTTTCATTATTGATTTCCCAACATCTGAATGTTTTGGGAGTAGGACTGGATGAATCAAACCCTCGGGGCCCTGACTATTCGTCAGGCGAGTTTGAAGATGCATGATCTTATTATTGTCGATTATGTGGCGGTATTTACCGAGTTCCTCGCCACACTCTTTCTGTTCCCATCTTATTAAATATTCTTCAGAAATTTCGTAGTCGCGTGTCGAGGGGACTCCATTTAAAGAAATGGAATCCAATCTGATGGATTGTGCTCTCTTCTTCCCGAGCACTATTTTGATAAACCGAAGGATGTATAACATAACGCGCCTTGCTTTACCCCAGGAACTCACACGTTTCAATAGTTGATGAGTTCCCTGAGAGGTCTCTGGAGCCGCAAGGCATATTTGAGTATTAAAGGGATTTTCTTCAAGTTCCTCAAATTTATTGAGGTCGCAATTCGTGAATGATTGGAATGTGATATCCTCAGGCCAATTAGCCTGTGGCTGAATGAGCCAGTCCGGTCCTCTCCACCACCTTAGGTCGGAACGGAGCTCGGTGGGAGTGGCTCCTCTTGTTGCTGTATCTGCCGGATTTTCATCGGTCCTTACGTAATGAAAGTGTATATCTTCGTGCTTCTTAATTTCGTTTAGCCTTCTCTGGACGAAGGTTGGTTGATTTTGCGGTGATTTGACCCATGAGAGCGCTATTTGAGAGTCGCTCCATAAATGAACTTGGTCAATTGGTTTCCCTATCTCCTTATTAACGTAAGCCAATGCTCTTACGCCAATAAGTATAGCTATAAGTTCCATTCGTGGTATTGTGAGTGTTTTGCCACCCTTTTTAGGTTTAAGGCGGGTTTTGGCAAAAATAAGGTTAGAGGAGGCTGAGCTATTAAGTTCTCCTCTCAAGAAAATCGCAACAGCATATGTGCTTGCAGAGGCGTCAACAAACGCGTGGATCTGTATGTTATCGTGTGATTTAAGGACTTTTCTGGGCAGACGAATCTCCTGAACTTGCCAACCCTGGAGGAAACTCTCCCAAAAGGATTTTTCCTCCAAGGCAAGTGGAGTGTCCCAGTCGTGTTTGTCATCCCATAATTGCTGAAAAAATAACTTTGCGGGCAAAACAGCTGGACACAATAGTCCCAATGGATCGTAGATGCCCGCTAAAGTGCTTAATACTGTACGTCGTGTTGGATTGGGACTGATTTGACTACTCGGCCATTGAAATCCGAGCTCGTCATTTTGTATATCCCACTGCATTCCTAGTACCTTAACCTCTGATTTGTCTAGTCGGTCTTCGTCAGGAATAGCAGAAATTGTCTCTGGTGAATTCGAGGTAAATTCTCGCAAGTTCATCTTCGCCTCCGAGAATATCATTTTGGCTTGATTGCATTTCCTGATTAATTCTTCTGGAGAACTTGCTCCTAAATGAAGGTTGTCCACATAAAGGCTACTAGATAATTCAGTAGCAGTAGTCGTGCCGTATTTCTCTAGATGGTGACGTATTACTCCCGCCAGAAGGTAAGGGGAGCAAATAACGCCAAAGGCAACTCTCGCAAAACGATAAACTTGTATATTGTCGTTAGATGGTGGCTTATCCGGATCCTTCAGCCAAAGGAATTTGGCTACTTCCCGGTCTTCTTCGTGTAGGCCTACCATAAGGAAAGCTGCCTCCAAGTCAGCAATCGCCACAAATTTTGGTAGGCGAAATCTGAGGAGCAATCCTACTAATTCTGGTAGGAGCACAGGACCACGGAGGAGGCAATCGTTTAATGAAGGTTGCCCCCTTGGATGTGCACTTGCGTCGAATACTGGTCTCACCTTATGAGTAATAACTGCATGGTGAGCCAGATAATGTTCTTGTCCTACTGGATTCTTTCGTGCTGGCTCGATTATCCCTCTTTGAAGATAATCGACAATGATTTGATGATATTTGTCTAAAAGGTCCTTTGATCGTGCAAGCGAGCTGTAAGTTGAACAAAGTCGACTATAAACCATTCTGTAGTTGCTTGGTGGTGTTATCTTTGGCTCTCGCCAAATCCAGCTTACCGTGTAACGCCCTTCGTTATCTTGGGCAATCGAGGACTCTAGCTGTTTAACAGCGATTTGGTCATCGTCAGCTCCGGGATCCTCTGTAATCCCTATCCCCTCCAAATTCCAGAATTCTTCTATAATATTGGAAGGAGGCATTTGGTCAATATTAGACTTGCCGATCGCTATCATAGAGTGTGAAGGTCGTCCTCCATATGGACTCATATCAGACTCCCCTCCAACTACTGGACCAAAGGCAGTCTGAATGACATAAATTCCTGGAGCGACTTCAGTTCTCTCCTTGAAAAACTTCCAAAAGTGTCGTGTTCCCAGCATAATTCCTGGGACTTCTGATGATATCTTGAGTGCTTGCTGGACTTCTGGGTGATCTAAATCTTGAGTGGGCATTTCTGTCGTCCATTGAACCATCTCGAAAGGGGTACTTATCTCCTTGGTCCAATTGAGTTCGAGCTCTTCCCAACCACCGTCCTCTCTTCTGATTGAGACGGCATATGTTGGTGAGCGGATTCTGATTGGATCTCTCATTGTTCCGCCAAATCCGTGTACTTCGACGTCGTCGATTGATATTTGAGGTGGACGAATTTTGTCCACTAGATCCTTGGTGATGTAACTTAGCTGACTGCCCGGGTCAAAGAACACATAAGCAAGTGTTCTGCTTTTCTTGTCTTCTGGCGATTCTACTGCCAATTTTCGTGTCATTAGGTACGCTGATAACTTTTTGCGCAAGTGAGGAAATGCCATGGCTGCAACTGTCTTAGTTGGATCACTCTCCGAGCCGGGAGGATCCTCTTGTGTTAAATTAGCTCCAGTCAACGGAGTCTCAATCGTGGTTGTCATTTGGGTAAACTGCCTATTCGGCGCAGTCCCCTTCTTGCTCGTCTTGTTAAGTCGTGTATGGTTCCTCGTTGTTGATGTGGTGCAGACGAGAAAACTATGTTTGCCCTGACAGATTCGGCATAACATAGGAAGGTGGCATTCCTTAAATGAGTGGCCCTCGCGCAGACACCTTATACAACGGTGCTGCTCCTTTAACCGGTTGAAACGCGATTGTGGCGTCGGGTATTTTGGACTTTTACTTGGGAAGTGTGCTCCTTGATGACATAGGGAGCATTCTCTCTGTCCAAACTTCACAAATGGTCTATTCTTGTGTACGTGAGCAGGAGCAATGAATGTACGAGATTGCTCTTGCGCTCCTTGTCGTGCTTGGTAATTTCCTCTTCTAGAGGAAATGTGGTTCTCAGTCGTCTCAGTTCGTGTTTTGGGCGCTTGTGAGGTTGTACATCGCTGAACCTCTTCTTTGATTTCGACAATGTTGATAAGCTCTTTTCTGAGCTGAGCGCAATTCCAACGAGATTCTGCCCCTCGCTCTTTCTCTACTAGTTTAGAGACAATAGAGCGGGGCAACTTGGACTTGATGGCTGTCGATATAAATGGAGATTGATCGACAATATTGAAAGCTTCCAACTGACGGCAAATTCGTTCAATCGAATCTACGAAAGATCGAATTGAATGGCAGGACTCATTTGGCGGGCTCAGATTCATGAGCTCCGACTCTAGTGCTTCAGTGATGGCTCGATTATCGCCATATCGTGATTTGAGCAAATCCAATGCTCTCGTGTAATTCTCGTTGGATAAAATGAATCCCGCAACTAAATCTTTAGCGGGACCTTGGAGGAGGGTGAGTAAATAACTCATTTTCCTAACATTGTCCATTTGGCGTTGGTCGATGTTGATTGAAAATAATTGCCAGAAAGCTGGCCATTTCTTCGGATCTCCATTGAATGGCTCCATTTTGAGCTCTGGTAAACGTGTGTCTGGTAATAAAGGAGTGTCCTTGACCTTGTTTTCTCCAATGCTTTGTTCTTCTTGAGTTCGACTTTGAATGCGTTGTGACTCTCGTGTTCGTTCACTACGCTCACTAGCCTCTGTAATTCTTTCCTCCATTTCCAAAAGGAGGAAGTCTAACTCGCCTATAATTCCTCGGGCCTGTTCTGCGAAGTCCATGAAATGGACCCACACTTGTCCTTCCTGTACATTAGGAGGAAACGTATTGTACAGCTGCTCCTCAGCTTCCAAATCTCCTCCATCCAGGAGA